ATATTTACGACTTTTAGATATTGTCTTACAAATTATGCACATTGTCTTACAAATTATACGCAATGTTTTACAAATTATGCGCAAAAGTCTTACAAATTATCCGCAATGTTTTACAAATTATGCGCAAAAGTCTTACAAATTAAACGCAATGGCTTACAAATTGCGAAAATATTATTTTCTTATTGTGAAACGACTATTAGATACTAAATCATAAAACTGCATGCCCACAAGCAACACAGTTTGTTTTCTGATTTATTATAGAACTAGGAATAGTATAGAATTTTCAGATATTTCCATTGTCATATCTAAGGGTATAGAAAGTGTCTTTTTTTTAATCGGAAAAGAAAAAATGAGCCATGCATTATAAGTTATAATATAACGATAAGTAATATTAACATAAGTTATGTCAAATGTCCATTTAATAAGAAAGATGTTTCTTTGAAAAAATTATTGTGGGCTAAAAATTTTGGTGATAATTGATCAAAGTAACACTTATTGCTTTCGAACAATAAAACAATATTTTATTAAATGCCGGCTGGGTGGCGTGGTTGGTTAGGCGCTGGCCTGGAACGCCCAAGCTTGCGGGTTCGACCCCTGCCCAAGTCTGTGGATTTTCATGATACAGAAAATCGGCAGCGTCCATGTCTCAGGATTATGTGACATATAAAAGCTCCCTAGAGTGCCTGCTTGGTTTGGATGCTCTCAGGAATATTGAATTCCTAGTACGGTTTCGCATAGTCAGAGCTCTGATGCCTCCCTCTGGGAGGGGTATCAAAATTACACTGTGGCATTTAGTATCCACCTTTATGATGACACAATAAAAAAAGTGATTTCAACTCCCGGGTAATGTACTAGGTAGCCCCACTTAAAAAAAAAATTATTAAATGTTGAATTAAAATCTTATTGATTTTGAGATTCAAATCCTTTATCAAAAAAAAAAAAAAACTTTCTATATAATAACCTGAAATAAAATAGAAAATTAATAAGTAATTTAAATTATTTTCTTACTTCAAATGATATTAATGAACAAATATTAGCATAAACGTTTGTAAAAAAACAAGATAAATTATTAAATAATCCCAATAAGAGGAATTGCCACTAATATTTTCAATAATCTTATAAGTGGTTAAAAATCTTTGATACTTTTTACTCTAGGATACGAAAGTAGTATGTGCTCCGCGTAATGAATCTTATGATAAGAAATACAACTATCCAGAGAGAATAAAAAGCGTAAAATAAATAAAGTATATTTTTTTCTTATACATGTTAAAAATATAAATTACAATTTTTTCCTCATGCATATGCGTTTTCTTATTTTTAAAAATGTAGTAAATAGTACGATCTTTTCTTTGATGAACTTGAGTTCGAGTTCTCATATACTAAAATACCCCTTGAGTAAAGAGGCTGTTGCACGTTAAATATGCTGGGATTAAAAGTCCCCATTTTGATATGTTGAAGATGTATGGAAAGTGGAATACTAGCTCAGGTCATTTGATCGTAGTTCAAAATTAAGAAGTCTGTAGCGGATATCTAAATAAGCCAGAAACAGCATCCGTACAAAGGTGATTACTTTTGATTAGTGGTTATGTTACTTGGCTACGAATACATAGGTCATGGGTTCTATCCTTCTCATTGGTGATATGAACACGCAACCTTCTGATCTTTCGTGGTGCCATCTACCCTCAAAAAGATCAATCAAAAGTCGTCAAATCCACTTGACGCAGCAGCCAAAGTCTTCAGACTCACTTGACTCAGCAGCAACAATTCACACGCTCTCCATAACAAATGTCTCGTCCGTTCACCTATCCACCGACTTATAAATGGGGAAGTACTGTAGCGGTGGTATCTACATAGCTAGTAACAAAAAAAATACATTTTTGTCTAATGTTCATATTACTTGGTTACGAATCCGTAGGTTGAGGGTTCTGCCCCCCGTATATACGCCACTTCAAGTCTATACCGCCAATAGACCTTTATGTACTGCAAAGTAAAACATTACTGAGCAATCAATCTACCTATCTCTCCTTTATATATATATATATATATATATATATATATAATGAGCAAATATATTTTTAAATTAACTAATATAACTAGTTTTTTAATTAGTTCTTTAATTTCAATTTTTATTAATATAAGTAATTTTTCAATTAAAAATTAGATTCGTTGACAATAATTTCGTTAGTCTCGGCATTAGTTGAATAGTATTGATTCACAGCATAATTCAATATTTCCGATTCCCAAAGGGAAGTAGGTACTTTTAGTCAAATGAATGTAATGAGATACGAGGTAATGTTTCACTTACTTCCTTAATTATATCAAGCCTGCGCTAGAAAATTAATGAAAGTATTTACATTTAATACAAGTCTGTTAGTTGTAGTTTTCACTTTTCCTAATTTGATCACCTTATGTATAAATTCCTATTTTTTTTTACCTTTAGATAATGAAATCAGAATCTTGTAATTATTAGTTCTGCTGATATATGTTTTCAGAAATATGTATTTTTCTATAATTATGATAGCAAAATGCATACTGTTTGTAGGAACATTTTTTGGATTTTTTTTCTTTTTAAACATTTATAGGAATTATTTTTTGAAGACATACGTGAATAAAATTGAAACTACCGTATTTATTCGAATCTAGACCACCATCAATGCTAAGCCTCACCCAAAATTTTCAACCGTTTTTGTGAAAAAATAAAAAAAAGTAGTATAAAATGGTTTATTAATAACAGATATTTTTTTTTACGAAATTTAAAATGAGAACAAATAGAAATGAATAATTTATTTATTTTACCTGTATTAAAAACTTTTAAATGCATACATGAACCTGTAATTGCTCTAACTGAGTGTTTCTCAAATTGTGGGGCGTGCCCACTAAGGGGCGGGATAACCCTACGTGTGGGGAGGGAGCATGTCGAAAAATCAAAAACAAAAGATTATTTAAGAAAAAAATTATTATTTTACTGAAAGGAAGCAAAACAAAATACATCCAACCCCATCCAAGGAATTTCTCGCCATGTAGGGCAGCGATGTACGTTAAATCTGTCGAGAGCTGTCCACACCACACCCGTTGGTGTGGTGTGGTAGCTAGGAGAAGGGGGTGCCAGCTCAGGTGTCGTCCATGTCACTTGGCCATGGTTCAAAATTACGTGGTCCGTCGCCAAAAGCCCTCGTGTAGCTGAAAAGTGTGACGTTAATCTTCACTCACCCATCGAATTTTTCTACCTTCAATTCTAAGCCACACCCGCTTTTCAGTAATCTTGACATTGAAGAAAAAGTTGGCTTAGATTGGAATAAATATAGTTATTCATGTATTCATATTAAAATTTAATGCAAACCTCCATTGTAATGTAATTTCAAATTTTCTTTTAAATTTTCAGATTGAATATAAAATAGGACGAAATCGCGAACGATTCTAGAATATTATATATAAAATCTAATAATATCTGTTTTCTTTTCAAGAAGCAATAACCAATAAACCAAGTTGATATTCCCCAGGCAAGTTTGAAACAAGAAGTATAAGTAGAAAACAGATTTGAAAACTTATTTTCACTGAATGAAGATCAAAAAATCGTGAGAGAAATGTGTGAATATAATGTCAAAATAGACTTAAGGAACTCTCAGAAGAAATAGAAATGAGTCACTCTATTGGGGTAAATAAGGGTGGATATAGTCTTAAGACAAATGGACGAAATAATGGGAGGGCGAAAAGAAGAAAGCAAAAAGGAAAAAAGAGTGAGTGGGCAAAAGAGCACCCACAGAGACTATTCAGAAGACTAGAAGTTGCAACACGATAAGAAGAAGCAATGTAGTAAAATCAGCACTATCCAGTCATAAATAGATATCTTAGGTGTGGTGAATTCGGCATCCGTAAGTGTTCCACTTTAAGTCCTTCTATTCAATCAATCAATAAATAAGAGCCACGTTTGTCGGATATTTCTATTTCTAGAATAACATTATATTCAAAACTATGCCGGTGGGGTGTTATATATTTAATAATTTAGACAGTCCATTAAAAAAGGTTGCTCGTTTGAGATGTCTCAAGTGAAACATAATAATCGCAATAATATAACATTTCTAGGTGTGTCGTATTAAAGTTACAAAAAATAAAAATAAGCAAAAAAAAATTAAGCTTTCGAAAAGTGCACTATTTTTAGTCCTTGAAATTTAATAAACTTGATTCTATAAAACCATTTACAGTTGAGTCTCCATCTAACGAACCTCTATTTTACGAACTTTTTCCTGGAACCAAGGACGTTTTACTATTTTCTTCGTAAAATAATTTCAAAAAAGAGAAGAGCAATTTATATTTAACGAACTTTTCCTCTTGAGATTCAATTTTTTCTCCCTATTTTTCACTATTCCTGCTCTATTAGTTCACAACTCTCCCTATATATATATAGTCTAATTCTCTACAAACAAGAGATAAACATTCATCAATCACATTCGAAAAAAACACATGGACAATAAAGAGATCATACAATGAAGGACACTAGATTAAGAATCATAAAATGGATACTGCAGTATTATAACATTGCTGACTTAGGACAACTAATATATAAAATAATTTATATAAAAGTGGGGTTGAACATGTTTTTTGGCCAGCCAACCTTCCCCCTTCATGTAAACAATACTGAGCAAAAACCTATTGAAAGTAATGGATAGGAATATCTAAATCCATTACAAGATAGAGGTAACTTACCTAAAAATTGCACTTGAAAAGAAAGATATATATGTATATATATATATATATATATATATATATATATATATATATATATATACATCTTGCTCAAATTTTGAATCGTTAATAAAACATTTTTTTATTCATCCACTCAAGATCAAATGCATTTTTTTTTAACTTGCAGGGGATGACACTTGATGGTAGTACAATATTTTCAAATATTAATTCATTAATTAAATTTAATTAATAAATAAAAGGAAACAAACAAAAATAGTAATCCAACATCATATATTAAAAGGAAATCCGCTCGTTGTGTCCCTGTAGCGCAATGGACAGCGCGTTTGACCTCTAATTCAAAAGTCGTGGATTAGAATCCCACCTGGAATGGCCTAACTTCTGAGAATGTTTTTTTTTCCTTTTTATACAATGCTACTTTATTAGAATACTTAAATTTAATGAATGAATAAATAGTAACAAAGAAAAATAATATTCCAACACCATATATAGAAAGGAAAATGGAAAAGTTTAAGGAAAATCGCTTTCTATTTTGTCACTTAATATTTTAATTCTGTCATATGTATATACATATTTATATTAATTGTAATTATTTAAGAAAAATTAACTAAAATAAAATTTTTCTTTGTTGACCTAAGTAGGAATTGACTTAAATTTTTTTTTATATTACTTGTGTGTGTTTTAAAATATTTTTTCAGAAATTTTTTCGAATTAATTTCTTTGTTAGCACATTTAATGGTGATCAATGACCTTAAACTGGTTTTACCAGGTGCCTAACTTACCTACAGCATTGAAATTGTCATAATTTTTAAAACAAAATACTCAAATAAAACCAACAGATTTTATCAGTAATTAAATTTTAGGATACATCTGGTTGTGTATACTTATAATTACTGATTATAAAATAACGCACGTTTAAAATTACTTGAAAGATTAAAATTAGAAAATATCGTTATAATTCATTAATTTTAATATAAAATAATTTTTTTAAAGTTGAAAATACAATGTATTCGTAGACAATGTATTTTCTTCCTATTTTCCTTGCAAATTTCTTTTTCATGAGTAAGATATATAAAATGTGAATATACATTCAAAAAAAGTGTGAATAATTACATTTGTTAAATAGTTTATAATGTTTATGAATTTAAAGTTTGTTTTATATAGTATCCGAATTATGTTAAAAGATGAATCTCTATTTAGTGAATTTTCCAGATTACAAACTTTTTTTATTGATTTAGTGACTTCGTTAAGTAGAGGTCCGACTGTATATATATTTATTAAAGAATTATATTACGAACACAAATTTCATTTTAAATAGGTGTAAACAAATTTTTATACAAAAGCTATATTGATGCGCATCATAACTTCATCATTTTTAAGGGGATATGGTGTGATTTATAAAAAAATATTTGCTTAAAAAATTTTCGCAGATCTTTTGAAAATCCTTTAAACAGATATTTTAGTTTTCCCCGTGTGTATTATGTACAACAGATTTTGTACTTCAAATCCCATAAAAAGGTAACGATTTAATTTTTTGTAGAAAAATTTAAAAATTTATGAAGTAATATTTACAAGAGTACGTTGAACTATATAGCAAAAATTGGAATGAGTTTTCAGATAACATTACTGATATTTATAAAATGCAATTTTTATGAATACTTATTGGAAATTCCTTAAAAAATGTATACATTCTAAATTCAACTATTTTTTTAAAAAAATAAGTATTGCTTTGATTCAAAAATGCATGCCAATTTTTGTAACCTGTATTAATAGCAATAGTTTAAAAAAGTATCAAAGTATTTGGCAAAGTAAAAAAAATGCCTTAGCATTTGAAATGAAGGAAAACAGTGAGTTTTTCTTTCTGCGATAATTCAGTTTAAATCTTTTATTTGCTACTGAGAATAGAAAAAAATCAAGCATAAAAATTATCATAACTGTAAGTTTTTTTTAACTTAAGGCTTTTTAATTTCATGAGATTATAAAAAAAATATGTAAAGAGTAACTTAGGCTAAAAAAGTTGATTTTTTGCCCGATTTTTGTCCATTTAATCGTACCGTGTTCTTTAAAGTTTAAACAAAAATTAATATTTAGCAGTAAAACTTGATATTTGTTCAGTAATTTACGAAATTAAAGTAGAAAGTTGTTTCTCACAGTTAATATCTCTTTTCATTTTTAATATACGGCTTACAATGAAAACTTGCGAATCTACGACTCTCGCTTACTAGCAAAAACTTTCTTCCCCTTCAAAAACGTAATTTTTGTATCAGTCAGGCTGACCTTAATTACAGACCAGGTCACGAAAGTGTATTTATTTTATCGATAATTAGTGTGAAACTTTTGTTACAGCGTTTTTTACTGCTTTATTATTTAATTAAATGATAGAAATTAGAATAAATAAAACACACATTCAATGGATAGTAAAAATTTCCCTCGCGTCTAAAACTTAAAGTTTGTAACTTAAAGTAATTTAGTTTTATAGTTTGTATCAATGCTGTAATAAAATGCTATGTAACACATGTCAACTTCTACTTAAATATCGCATCGTTCCAATAACCAATTTTGTATTTGCATTACTTACTGTGAAATTGTTAGTTTTATTCCTTTTAAAAACACTGCAACGGCACCTAATGATGTAAGAAATATAGATATCCTTCTGTTTCATTTTAAGAAAGTGTAAATTTTCTGTTTATCTAAAAATGATTTGATTCTAGAAAAATATTCATCATTCTTATGTGCTATGTTATTTGCTGTCATCATGTGTTATTTTTATGGGAGTTTATAAAACAGCTTTTCGAAAAGATATTTATGTATAGTGCCTAAATTGAATTACATGAAATGGATTTTATGAGAGTTCTTCCTTCAATATTACATTAGAACAATGGATGGAGCTTTATCACCAGATGATCATACACAATGTGATGCCATATTTACCATATAATACTTTTAATTTATTTGTTATGGATTCCTATTTTCTGCTGTGCAAATCTCTCGCATATAGCTTAAAAATGTATAGCTAAAGATGTTTTAGTTACCACAAAAAAAAACTGATTTTTTTTAAACCTCTACCAAATCTGTTATTTCCCTGATGATAAATCGTGTATTTTCACAAACCATCATTTTTCTCTTCGCCTACAGTTTCAAAAATAAATAAATCTTTCAAGTACTTTCTCTTTAAACAACCTATATTTTTTAACATAATTTGAAATTATTAGGCTCTTTCCCGCGGAAAATTCGCTTTAGTAAACTGATACGGCAATGCAGTAGACGCATTTGAGGGCTTCGGGTGTAATAGCTGCTTGTTTTCTAAGAAAACGAGTCATATTTTCTAATTTTTGTATTAAAAAAGTAACTAAAAAACTAAAAAAGGAAGATTTGTTGTTGTTTTAAAGTAAAAGTAGAAGAACATTAATTTGATGTCCTTAAATATTTTTTTTTCAGTTGGGAATATATCTACTCACATTTAAGTTAGAATAGCAGTATAAGGTGAATTAAAAATCTTGCCGTGATTATATAAAAAAATCATTACAAATTAACCATTTAATATACAATACTGGCCATAAAAATTGCTACACCATGAAGAAATGCATATAACAAAATGATATTTATTGGACAAATATATTATAGTAGAAATAACAAGTGAGATTAAATTTTCAAGAAATTTGGATGCATATATCTCCTAAGAAATCAGTAAACAAACACTTCTGGCAGTAATAACAGCACTTATACGTCTGGGCATTGAGTCAAACAGAGATTGGATAGCATGTACAGGTACAGATGACTATGCAGCTTCAACACGTTACCTTAGCTCATCAAATGCAGTGACTGGCATGTGGTGACGAGCCAGTCACTCGCTCAACCATAGACCAGACGTTTTCTATTGGTGAAAGATCTGGTGAACTGCAGGCCAGATCCACAGTCGAACATTTTCCGTATCAAGGAAGGCCTGTACAATAACGGCAATATGTGGTCGTAATCCTGCATAAACGTACGGTTTCGCAGGACTTGGTTAAATGGTAGAGCCATGGGTCGTAAAACACACGAGAAATGTAATGTGCACAGTTCAAAGTGCCATCAATGCAAACAAGAGGTGACCGAGACGTGTATCCAATAGCACCCCATAACATCATGCAAAATGATAGGCCAGTATAACGATGAAGAATGCACGCTGCCAATGTGTGCTCACCACGATGCCGCTGAACACGGATACGACCATCTTGACGCTGTAAACAGAACCTGGATTAATCTGAAAAATAGGTTCGTGCACCAGGTTCGTCATTGATCACACCATTTAAAGCTCTCCTATCTGTGATGCAGCTTCAAGGGTAACTGCAGCCATGGTCACCGAGCCGAGAGTCAATGCTACAGCAAACGTCGTCGAACTGTTCGTGCAGACACTTATTGTCTTGCAAACGGCCCTAATTCTGGACTCTCTGACGTTGCTGCACGATTTATTAAGGCCATGCGAGTAAAATGCCTATTTTTTTCGGCTGCTAATGATAGGGGGCCGTTGAGATCCAGCTCGGCGTTCTGTATTAATGTCCTGAACCCATCGATTCCATATTCTGCTAACAGTCATTGAATTTCGACCGACGCGAGCAGCAACACTGCGATACGGTAAACCACAATCCCAGTACGCTACAATTCGACCTTTATCAAAGTCAGAAACATGCGTACACGCATTTCTGCTTTTTACAGGAGGCATCATAACAACTTTTCACCCTGCAACAGCGTTCAAATACAATTTGTGTATGGGAAACCGGCTTAACTATCACCTCATTTAAACACATTTTAGTTTTCGCTACTGGCACCTGCTTTGACGGAATGCGCTGAAAAGCTAAACATTTGAATATCACATCACCTTCCTGTTGTTTAAATTCCACAGGTCTGTAGCATTTCACCTTCGTGGTGTAGCAATTTTAATGGTCAGTAGTGTAATTATGTAACTTTTGTATTAATGGATAGGTCAGTTTTAGTAGTTTTTTTGTGCGACAAATGAAGGGAGCGTTCCTTTAAGAGGGACTTGGGGAAGCAATTGTAAGAAAGACATTATTTTTGACCGAACTGGCGTCGAGTCAAGTAAAAGCCCTATGTATATCCTGGTTTCACAAAACGAATTCGCTTATTAAAGTTCAGGTAAATTTCGACCTGTTTCTGGACGTCCTGGTGCATTGTTGTTTTGATTCACAAAATCAATAAAACGATGGTTAGACACATCAAAGAATAATGCTTCGGGGGAACTGGAATAATGCCTGGACATTCTCCGAGCTACCAAGAGAGCTCACGGTGCAATTTCTTGAGGTAAATGGTCTTATAAAAATTTATAACCGAACTTGCAAGCAATCATTTATCTAAATATAATTATTTGAGGACAA